CCCCTCCAGAACAGAAAGCTCTTCTTGAATCCGCCAAAATTATAGTAGCTTTCCTGACAGACATTTCTTTTCTGGCCACCTAGATGCGACATACTGCATCACCTCTTGTAACACGCCGTCCTTCTCTGTCTCCACTTGCAATTGGTTCTTTGTTACCAGGCTTGACACCACAGCAATGACCTCCTCTACTGGGTCGCACTCTGTGGACAGCAAGGGCAACCGGGAGAGTGCGTCAGCGACTACATTATCTTCTCCTTTCGTGTATTGTACAGTAAAATTGTACCTCATCAGCCTTGCACACCACCGCTCTATCCGAAATGGCCGCCTTCCGGTGCCATTAGTAGAGAGCAATGTTACCAATGCCTGGTGGTCCGTTCGCAGCACAAAAATTCTGCCCCACAAGTACACATGCCAGTGCTCGCAAGCCCACAGACATGCCAGGGCTTCTCGTTCTCCCGTAGAGTATTTGCGTTCCTGTGGCGTCAACGTCCTTGATGCAAATGCTATCGTACGCGTCTCACCGTCGATCACCTGTTGCAGTACCGCTCCCAGCCCATATGCCGATGCATCAGTTGTTACCTGTACAGGTAAGGACCGGTCAAACATGGATACTGCGCTGCACGACGCTAGTAGGTTCTTAGCCTTGCCGAAGCTTTCCTCGGCGTTCTGGTCCCAGATGAACTCCTGGCCCTTGCGAAGAAGGCGCCGCAGTGGCTCCACCACTTCTGCATAATGAGGGAGGAAATGAGAGTAGTATCCCATGAGCCCAAGAAAAGAACGCAACCCCACCAAATCCGTTGGCGTCTGTGCATTGATAATCGCGTCCACTTTTGATTTGAGGGGTGCGAGACCCCTTGCGCTCACATGGTGACCCAAGAACGACAATTCCTCTACCCCGAAGACACATTTCGTGTTCAGTTGCAGGCCAGCGGCCGCTATTCGCTGCAAGACCTCGCGCAGATGACTGTTGTGTTCTTTCTTATTTTTGCCAAAGACAATAATATCGTCAATGTACAATAGGACGCCCTTGCAACCTTTCAATATTTCTTCCATCATCCGCTGAAACGCGGCGGGCGCCGAAGCAAGGCCAAAACAGACTCTACGGAACTGAAACAGTCCCTCATGTGTGGCAAACGTCGTCAGTGCCCGGCTGTCTTCTGACAACTCGACCTGGTGATAGGCTGACGCCAGGTCCAGTTTAGAGAACCATGCTGCTCCGTTCAAAGCGTGCAAAAGCTTCTCCGTGTGCGGCAACGGGAAGCCGTCAACGACAATGGCCTTGTTTGGCTCCCGTAAATCTACGCAGAGTCGGATGCTCCCGTCTTTTTTTTTTACCACCACTATTGGAGACACCCACTCAGAAGCGTTTACCCGTTCGATAATGCTTTCACGCTCTAATCTTAACAATTCAGCAGAGACTTGTTCTCGCAACATCAACGGTAATCGCCTAGCTTTTGCTGATACTGGTTTGACGTTGGGGCGCAGTTTAACTTCGTGTACCACGTTTTTAGCAAGTCCCAGTTTCCCCGCAAAGAGGAATGAAAACTCACTAAGTTCAGGAGGCAGAGGTTGTGGCCCCGCCGTTGTCTGTAGGCACGCCAGTGATGCGCCGTCGATATGCAGTCGTAATTGTTGCACCGCGTCCAGTCCCAGCAACGCCATGCCCCTTGACACCACATAGAAGCGAATGTTTGACGACACGCCTCCACGTGCCGCTTGAGCCACAAAACATCGCAAGACTGGAATTCTTTGCTGTGAAAAGTCCCGCAGAGTCACCGTTGCTGGAGCCAAGGCGAACCGTCTTGCAAATTTTTCTTGATAGATGTTTGCTGGCAAGATAGACACTGACGAGCCTGTGTCCACGACAAGCTGAATCACTTCGCCCTGGACGCAAACGTCGACTATCAGAGTGGTTCGCTCGTTCTGTGTGACTGTTAGGACACCCAACTCTTCGTTTCCGTCCGTGTCCTGAACCGCTTGCACCCGCGCTTGCCCGGTACTTCTACATACCGCTTGAAAATGTCCCACCTTGTGACACCTCGAACACCGCCTATCTCGCGCTCTGCATTCCCGTGCACTGGCTAGGTGTCCTGAAGCACCGCATCTGTAACACCTGCGGTCCGGAACTGTTGAAGAACCGCTGACTCCTGTTCCTGAACGATTTCTTGCCTTCTCGACTTGCTGAACCATGGCAGCGTCACGCCCCTCCTCGTAGACACGGGCACCTTCCGCTGCCTGCTCGAACGTCTGTAGGATGTCCATGGCCTGGCCCAACGTAAGCTGTGAACCTTTCATGAGCAGCTTCTGTCTTAGCTCCACGCTCCGTACTCCGTCGACGACTTTATCCCGCAGCGCTGCCTCAAGATAGTCACCGAAGTCGCAAGTACTCGCGAGCTGTCGCAGGGCGCTGACGTACGCGCGTATCGGTTCTTCCTGAAGCTGTCGCCGCAACATGAATCGCCGTCGTTCGACAAGCACATTCAGAGTGTTCGTGAAATGTCGTTCCAACAACCGAAGTGCATCGGTGTAGTCGTCCGGCTCACCCCCTTTTGATGTGGTCTTCTCCGGCGTACTTCCAGTTGCAGCAGCAGTTTTCGGTGGTGCAGCCGCAGGCTCTGGAACCAACGTGCGAAACACTCTTCGACCTTCCACCCCCAAACACTGTAGAAGTATCGCCTTTCGTTGTGCTGGCGGTTTCGCGTCCATTTCCGTCGCCTGCAGAAAGATCTCGAAGTCCTCTCGCCATTGCCGCCATGGCACTGCCGGGTCTCCCGGCGCCTCCAAAAACGGGGCTAACGATGGCAGCCCGAACGTATTCATCTTTGCGTTAATGGGTAACGCCCCTCGCGTACTAGTTGCGAAGAACGGCTGTCATCTTGACTGCTGCCGAGGTTGTGCTTTTGTCGACTGCGCCAATGTGGTGTAGACCGGCGAACGTGGCCGGAAGGCCGCAGAACAAGAACTGACACGAGGCAGGCACTGGACGCTGACTGATCTTTATGCCGATGGTGATGCTCTTATATACAATTGGTAATGCATGAGTTCAGCGCCCTCTATACACAACAAGGTTATTGAATTTCAACTTTTAATTTTTCAAACTGTACATCTCTACTGGGAACAGTGAAAAAATGAGGTAAATGGTGGGAACAGGCCTACTGTTTGGGCGGTAGGAGTCAAAAGCAGGGTACTAAAATATGTTTGACGGTGTCAAATTAATGAGACAGAAGCACACTGCAGCACTCGCTCAAGGAGCAACAAAGAAATGTGCGCCATTGTCGGTTTTCTAAACTATCTGCTCGACCTGCAAGTTATCCTGCCTGTGACATCTAACTTCTGAGGAGCCCAGGAAAGTTTGAGAGCTAGTTTTGGTGCTGCCTTCATTTGCAGTTTTCTCGACGACTGTTCTGGATTTAGGTATGCCGAGTAGATTGCTGGAAAAGATAAATCGGGGGGATTCTGAAAATGTAGTTAATCTCTTAAGAGTTTGTGATGTGCTGAGCTTGTCACGGGCGATCGTCCATTTTGTGGTTTATGACGAGCTCACCCCGTCACACCGTTTTTGGTCTTTAGTGTTTATTTAGTTGGCTCAGTAGAGCCGCCATTTCCATGATTTGAGACAAGGTCAGCTCATCAAACCAGATTAAACCATACTTGAAATTGAAAGAATAAAGATATAGAGGAAGAACACAGACAACCACACTCTTTAACAACCACATAGAGTGTGGTTGTCTGTGTTCGTTCTTCATGTCTTCATTCTTTCGATTTCAGGTATACCTTTAACAACATGCTCGCACTAGCCAGATTAAATCATGTTGGTACATTTTTTGAATAAACAATTTTACCATTAAGTTATCTTGGGCAGCTAAAAAAATTGCTGGAGTTCCCTTTCAACCCTTTTTAAGACACAAGCTGCTAATACTATAAAGCTGTGGTCTCCTGTGTGTAAACATAATGACGATAATAAAAATGTTGAAGTGTATGATTTGCCACAAAACAAGTGGAACAGCATATGTCCAACCAGCTGCTTAGAGAACAGCATGCGTCCCACGACCCGGCTTGTTAACTGTTTCTTTCTTTCTATTTCTAATTGCCTTCTGTAAAATGGCTCAAAGGCATGCAAATTTAATTAGCACACCAACTTGATTCTGAAATCTTTGGATATAATTGACTGCCAATGGCACCTTTTACATCTCTTGGAGGTAGTCAATTTCCTGAGACAAGATCTAAGAGTGTTTCTGTCTTTGTGCGTCCATCTGTTGCAAATTTTTGCTGTTGCGAAAAGTTTGTCACTAAATAAGTAGTCTCTGGGAAAAATTGTAAAGCTATGGGTCAATGATATTCTATTAATAAACTATAACAAGATGACATACTAGGCCTAAGTATATTGCCACCTAGTTGACCTCACTTCTGGTATTGTATAGTAGACAATAGAGTGAATGATTTAGGAATACAAAAGGTGCTAAGTTTAAACCTGATGTGTTCATGGAGGTGAAGAATGAGAGTTTGTATTTCCCAGGCACACTGTTTCCAAAAATGAAGTCATAAAAATTTGCTGTGAAATAGGTGGAGGAACAATCTCCATGGTGGTAACAAAAAAAAAATTGATCCAATTTAAAAGGAAGCTGAGCTGAAATTTCGATTTCACAAAACAAGGGTGGAGCGATTGGCGGGACACTACAATCTCAAAAACATCACTCGCACACAGACATTTTATTGTGTGGAGGAGGCTATAGGATATGGCATGCCGGCCAGGTGGGCAGTAGGCATAGACCACTAAGCATCTGCAGCGCTTGATGGTGATCTTGATGAAAAGTGATTTCAGGCTTTCCATCTCAAACTTCTGGCACCGGCGGCACGAAAGCAAGTTCGGTACCGCTACAAGAACACCACCACCACGGGAGGCGAAGCGATCTCTGCAAAACGTGGTCTACTGGCCAAACGGGTCAAGTAGCCCATCATTATTTGATGCGCCCTAGAACATTGCATGGACTCGGGCTTACCCGAAAGCCTGGGTCGGGCAAGGTGGATTCTGATGGGGCCTCGCCAAGCTCGGGTTTTGGGCTGCGCAGACCTGGGCCGGGCTCGGGCTAGGGCGTTGACTGTCCTAGGTCGGGCCTGGGCCCGTGGTACGAGGCGGTGATGGCGATGGTGTCCATAGAACTCGACGCCTCGGTCATCTCAGCAACATATAAGCAGACAAATGTGCACTTATGATTCACTAGATAATTTTTTGTTTGTAATTGATTAAGTGTGAAGCACATGTACGACAAAACTGTCCGATCCGACGTCCGATCAGGCAACACGACGGTCCGAAACAAGGGTTTTTAACGCTCTCCGGAGCTACGAACACCCTTGCCCCCAAAGGTCATTCCGGCAGTTCACACGTCGGATCGGACGGTTTCGTCCTACATGTGTTTCGCACTTTAGTGCACTTCCCTTTGTCTTGAGAATAAAAAAAAAAAAATCAATGTCGGAGCAGTAAAACTCTTTATTGTTGTGGCACTCGTTTATTTTCGAATTAGGCACATTTGCAGCTTCGCAGTATATGCCTACCGAAGTATACCCCACATCCGTCCATTCTACATTAAGTGCCCACACCCAAATTTGTAAGATCTAAGGAAATATGCGCAGTACATTTATATGTAAAATTGATGACCGGACAAGTGCCCATCCCCCATTTTTTCGCGATTATCTCTAAATTTTGAGTAGGTGCTTGCCTGGTATTTTACGGTATATTTTCTTTTTGTTATTGATACGGAGAGTTTCATTTTAAATCAAACAGAATTTTTAAAAACTGGGGGTGCAAATCGCAATAATTCTGTTTGTAATGTGCGCTTGTAGAGCTCAGTGGAAATTACATTAGGACAACCACTACAATAGGTCGAATAACCAAGAGAAATCTTGCCCAACCCCACAAGGCGACAACAAGCCTTCTCGGTGCGTGACTATGTAACTTGCATTTCCCTTTTACATTTATTTTATTTAGTTCTATAATACAATTTACTTATAAAGAACTGTTTTATCACCCATGTTGCATTAGTAGTTTCAAAGCAAGTGATAATGAAAGTCATTATGCAACAATTTGCAAGAGGGCAAGGGGCTTTTAGATAATCATGGATCAATTTTCGCCTTCTGAAAGTCTGAAGGTCCGATTCAAAAAACGCCCTTTGCAGATAACAGCATGTGAAAGAGTAAAGGGCGGTTCACACATTTGTTTTGACTGCGTTGGGCTCTACAGCTCAGCCAGAGGCTGAACGAATCACGGATCACGTGATTAAAACGAATCACCCGGTATGTATAACGTCACATTTCTATTGAAATTTTACTTTGTTTATACGGGTACGTTGCTTTGTAAATTCGTGCACACGTAGCGACGTTTAAACTCGTCTTCAATTTTGGGCCCGGAAGGGGCCGGACTCGGGCAGGTTCTAAAACTGGCGGACTAGTCCGGGCCGGGTACACAGATGTTGCTAGGGCTCCGGGCAGGCCTGAGACTCGGCTTCGAACCCCCGGGTTAGGCTCGGGTAGGTAACTTACCAAGATGCCGGGCCTGGGTTCAGAAAAGCGGCCCGTCCAGTACCCTAACGCGTCCAACCAACCCACAAGGGCGAAGATCATGTTGGGCATTCATGCCATCGTTGTCTGGAGCGCTAATACGACGTCGCGAGATTGTGGCTGGCACACCAAAGATTAAGCTCTGTAACAAAGCCTTTTCCGTCACACATCAAACACCAAATCAAAGGAACAGGGGCACGGAGCACAGTGGAATCGGTTGGGCGATTACAACGCTACACAACTACACGCAGCTCACTTTAACTACACGACGCCGCCGACCCCGCGGGGGCCGCGGGGTACGCGGGGTGTGCGAGTTGCCAGCGCGTCTAAACACCGCTGTATTTGGTTACACTGAGATTGTTGACAAGGTGGGCGAAGTTCTAAAAGAGCGGAATAACTTTGTCTTTTAATATTACGTAAGTTCTTGTATTTTAAGTTTAGTGGTAAATATTTTGTGCTGAAGCAGATATGTGTCTTTTCCCGAAACAGATACGTACCTTCGTGTCGTCGTATGTCACAGCCGCATATCCAAATCCAAATTCTGGTACGAGCGGGGGAACGATCCCGACGATCCCGCGGGACCCTCAGGACCCGTTCAATGCTATGGAGAGGACCCGAATAGTCGATGAAGAAGGCTTCCGTAGAAGCAACATCCCAGTGTATAAAGTGAAATATACCGGTGCTTTTAGCAGAGGGTGGTTCTTTGCGGATATATCATCATGTGTGAAGTGTGAAACGTGCTAGCGTGCTCCGTCAGAGGCGTAGAAAGGTAGGTCGCGGGTGTTGCTAGTTATTCTGAATGGTTTGGTGGTTGTCTAGCATTTCAAGCGCGCGAAGCTGCGTGTACTGTGTCCCGTACCAACGGCCATACACACTTGCACTTTCGATGAATGTTAATGTCTTCGCAACGCAGAACGTTTGTGTTCCCTGTGTATCCACCTCCGTTGTCTTCTCTCTCGTATTGCCGTATGGTAACTCCTGCTGTTTTACGATATCACTCACGCGATGTCATATATGTGGGCATACCGATATCCACATGTTGCTTCACGAACGCTCAATATCGTGTTGCGTTTCCTCTCAGTCCGCGGTATAATGCCGACGTAAATCATATTGGTAACTTTTCATCCGTTCTGAGATATATGCACGCGATATCATATTGTATTTACCTTTGGGCCCGGGATCGACAACCCATATTTATATATCGTGTGGCCGTACAGCATGTCCGTGTCGGTCACCAATATGCACGCGATGTCGTATTCTGTTCCAATAACCGCGTACTATATCGGGGTATTGTGCTCCGATATCGTGTTGTATACCAATAACCGCACGTTCTGTCGGGATATTGTGCTCCAATATCGTGTTGTATACCAATAAGCTCAAGTTATCTCGGGATATCGTGCTCCAATATCCTGTTGTATACCAATAACCACATACTATATCGGGATATTGTGCTCCGATATGAATTCCCATCGTGCGTATTGGATTAATCGGATAACAATAAGTTTTTATTGGTTTCCTTCAACTTCATTGGAAAACAATATTTCCACAATAAGCCGAGTTCATATTGGCCTTTTTCAATAGGGAGGCCAAGCTGAAGCGTGTGCTCCCGTTCGCCCGCCGATCCCGTCGTTGCCCAGATGGTGACATCATCGGCGTATACGTCAAAGTGCAGCGATGGAACCGCTTCAAGGAGTGGGGGAAGTCTTGCCATGACCAGGTTGAAGAGGGTGGGCGAGAGGACCGCGCCCTGCAGTACCCTGGTCCTGTTCGGTTGAGCGGCTCCAATGTAGTCCCCGGCTTTGATCTTGTACGTTCTGTCGTTCGGGAAACTCTTAGCGAAATTGCGAAGGTGGCCGCACAGTCCGGCAAGCTCTGCGCTCTGGATGACCGCCTCGTGAGGGACGGTGTCCAAGGCCTTGCGAACGTCCACCGCCACCACCGTTCTCGTCTGCACTTTCGAGTAGGCGTCAAGGACCTGGTGGCGGAACATAAGGAGAATGTCTTGCGTGTTCATCCCGTGGCGAAATTCTAGTTGATGTGGGTGGGGCGGGTAGTTCCTCTCGAGATGCCACATGAGTCGCTCGAGAACCATATGTTCAGTGAGTTTACACAGGTTCCTGGTATGGGAAATTGGCTGGAGGTTAGTGAGCTCATTCGGTGGCTTGCCCGGTTTTGGGATCGGTATCCCCAAGGGTTCGCGTTAGGAGGTCAGGAAGTTGCCCGTCGTCCAAATCTCGTTCATCGCGTCAAGGAGAAGCTGGAGGTGGACTTCAGGGAGGTTGCACAGTTCTGAAATGGTTATCAGGTCTGGGCCAGGTGCGCTGCGGGCGTTCGCCCTTGCTAAAGCTGCGTGAAGTTCGGCCATTTGAAACGGTTGGTCTATGTCGACCTGCTCCGCTGCTTGGAGATCCAATGCCTAGAAATGTCCGATCATCTGGGTCGGTGTCGCAGAGTCTCGGGAGTATATGGTGGGATCCGGTGAAGCCGCAGGCTGCAGGAGGAACACTGCCTCAGCCTGGAGGAGCGCCAGCTGCTCCTCCGAGGTTGGCATGCGCAGAGCCGCTGTCTGCGCCGCGGTGCGTCTCTTGGCTTTGCCCTGCCAATTCCGAAAGATGTGCCATATGCGTGGTCCGCTCATGTTACCGTTGAAGCTGGAGCAAAGGTCGCACCATCTGTCTGTAGAGAGAATATTTGCGTAATCGCGCGCCTCAGCGGTTATAAGGTTCAGACGTCATCGCAGTCCGGGCGTTCGTCCTCTCTCCCTCTGTACGCACACAGCGCATAGGTTAGCCAGGTGCAAGTCCGGCGACGGCTTGTCCTCCGCCACTTGAAATTGCTGGGTAGATGACCTTTTGGCTTCGTGTATTGTCCGTAGGAGGTGGGCCAGTTCGTGCGTTTCTGGGTCACCGCCTGATGTGGTGGCGGGTGTTTGCTCCAGCTCTGCGCGGAAGGCGTCCCAGCAGACGACGCTCGTAGTTCGTTTCGGCGCCGTTATCTTGTCGCCGCGCGAACGAATGAAGATGGGCAGGTGGTCGCTCCCCCACGTGTCTGCTCCTGGTTCCCAGAAGAGGGCCCGCCGCCGGTTCGTCCATGTGAGGTCGGTCGTGGTGTCGCCTTGGCGAGCGTGCTGGCAAACTCACATCGGTAAGTCCGGATCTTTGAGCAGACTCAAGGATCCGGGCAGCACGTGGCCATTGCGCAAACGAGGTTCGAACCGTGGCATGTGTCGGTCCTCGATCCCCAGCACGTGTGGCGTGTGTTAAAGTCGCCGCCGATGACGACGAGGGCATCGGGGTGCATTTTTCGCAGGTCTTCGACCCAGGACCAGTCAATGGTGACGCTGTTGCGGATTGACGGTCGGACGTATATCGACACCACCACGACCTTACATTGGGGGAGTTGGAAAGCCACGCCCACGACCTCTTGATGTTGCGCGTGCACCAGCGGTGCAGGTCGAGCTCGTCGTGCGGGATGCGGGCAGCCACTAGGACCGCCGCGTCGCCCCTGTAATTGACGCTCTGCGGCGGCGCTTTGCCGCCCGGACCGTTCGGCGTTCGTTGGCGATGCGGGATGGTGGGTCGCGTATACGTGTCGTAGCCGGGCAGCGAGAGGTTTGGATCCTGGGCCTCCTGGAGAAGCAGCACTACTGGTCTTGTCCCTGCTGAGCAGCGGACAAGAAACTCTGCCTTCTTGCGGGCGAAGGTTCTGCGATTCCACTGCAGAAACCACGCTGCCCTCTCCCGGGTCGTCCCGGGTTGCGTCTTAGATTGCGGATTGGTGTTCGTCATGGTAGCGTTCCACGAAAGTCTGGCTCCCCAGGAGCTGTTGGAGTACTTCTCTTACCAGTTGAATTAGTGTGTGATGCA